TCTCTTCGTGATAAAAGGAGAGGCTTATCTGCATATCTGTATGTCACAAGAAGTCACGATTTTCTTCTTTAGGTTTCCTCGAGATAGAGGAAGAGTTCTTCGGGTTTCCAGGGACAGTGGAAGAGAAGAAGTGCAAGGAGGAGTAGTTTCTCGCGACAGAAGGAAGAAGAAGAAGATTGTTCTCCCTAGGTTTTTCTTGGTGGCTTGTGGCAACGAAGAGTGAGAGATTCCTCTTGTAAGTCGAGGTGATCGACTGGTGTAAATTTCCTCAAGTAGTAAAATCCTCTGCAACTCCATGGACGTAAGCAATTTGCCGAACCACATAAATCTGTGTGTTCTTTCTGGTGTAAATTTTTCTCGTTCTATTTTTTGCTTCGTCGATCGTTCTCCTGTTTGATTTGTATATATACCACATCAACTACTTTGGTATATATTTCATAACAGTAAGGAGTCTTTAAAGTCTCCACGGGATGGTCGCAGAAGCTTTGCGAAATTATATCTTCCTTTGGATCAGCTTTACTGGGATAGGCTATCAAATTGAGTCGGATTTCCCGTAGCGGTTGGCTCAGACATTCTTTTTTCTCTCATTTTTGACTGGACTGCTCGTGCTTCGGTCTTCCAGACGCCTTCTTGTCCGCTTCATGGCTCCCTTGGTTTCGGCCTAGTTGGCCGGTCATATGGACCCTCATAATCTCCTATCAGGGGGCCAGCTCGTAATCATCTCTTATGTACCATTACATCACTTTAAGAACAGTGATATATTCTAATACGAAGAATTTATGATTCAGATATATTAAACTCTTAATCCAACTTATCTACAAATCTTTTAAGAAATTATTGCTGCATATCATTCTTCATTGGTCGAATTTGGTGCAGGAATTCATTGAATCATAGATGCTTAAATATATTTACAAATATGAAATAAATATCCAATCCTTCATTTAATTTTATTCATAAGCATTATCATTATTACCATTATCTTAGCTATTAAAAATCTGCTCATGATTTTTTTAATTCAATGCACCATGATGCGTATAACTACAATTTAAACGCATTTATTTTGCTGAATTTCAAGCCATATTAACTTTAATTTAACAATTTAATTTGTGTATTTTATTGTCAAATCATCAAAAATATTTTATTTACATTACTACAAAAAAGAATCATTTATATGGACACATCCATTATCATTGTAAATAGGAAAGAGTAGCAGCTGAAAAAGAAAAAAATCCGAATAAAAACAATCTCTCCTAACTGTCAGAACGGCTAGTTGTTCGCGAACTGCTCGTGTTCGGCTCGTTAAGAAACTAGTGCTCGGCTCTTTCACTAAGTTGATGAGCCGAACACGAACTACATGAACAAATATTTGTTCGGCTCGTTTTGACTCGAAATACTACTAATCAATATATATATATATATATATATTTGATGAGTAGCATTTATAAAACATTTAATTGACTATAAGGTTATAAAGATTTACAATCAACTAAAAAATATTAATTAAGAAAATAAAATAAAAATTATTAAATTAGAATCAAATAATATTTTAAATCTTGCCCTAATTCTTAATAGTTTATGACTATATGATTAAGGTTGTCGAAACGACTCTTTGTTCGTAAACGGCTTATGTTCGGCTCACTAAACAAACAAGCCGAATACGAACACACTTTTTGAGCTCAAAATATAAATAAATTTACACCCCTAGTTCCAAGGCAGAAGTGGGAATATTAATTTTTTAAAAAATTATGGTGAAAATTATAATTATTTATTTATTTTTTTCACAAAATCCACAACCATTTTACAACTGTCAATTTAACAAAAAATAGCCATCTCATCACCAAAATTTCTAAAAAACTGTTTACTAACAACCCACTTTCAGGATTTTCAAAATTTGCAGTGGGAAATTGCTTTTGTAACCTGATCTTGTGAATTGCGGTGACTATCATAGAACTGCGGTCTAATTTTTTAAAAATAAAATAAATTTATAATAATCATCGTAAATTTTCGAACTAGAATTTCTACTATAACAACTTCAAAGTTGTTCTAAACAGTTAGTTAAAACAATGAAAGCAGAAAACTATCCCAAAGAGAACTTAAGAGTATCCAAAAGCGCGCACACGCACACGCACGTGCACACACAATACATGTATAGATACATCTGATAATATCTTATAGCCACCCAAAAGATTCTGTAATACAAGCTAAACTAATTTTAGAAAAATCAAATACTGATAAACAAATTAAAAGAGAAATTTATCATATTAGGAACTAATGTATCTCATTGGTACTGCTATCACTAATGATGGGAAGCAGCATACAAATTATTGTAATGAATAAAAAATTTAACATAATCATTTGGGCCCAGACCATGAAGACCACGAGGCAGCATCACTAAAATGTTGCCATAATTGTAATTTCCCCAAAAAAAAATTTCAAAATTAGATAAACTCAGAGCCGTCTCAATAAATCATTGACCAGTAGAGATGAAAAATGTTGGATCAATTAATAAAGGCCCAACAGTTTCCACCAGAAGCCTCCAACTACTCCCCAGGCCGTAAGGTTAATCAAGGCTGTCAAAAAGCCCAGCCTGAATAAGTCCGGAAGATCTATATATCCAGCTGTTAAAAAGGCCAAGAAAACAAAGCTTTATACAACTGCAAGTGATAAGAAAATAGCGAACAGAAGAAATTGAGAATGAATTTATCAAGTGTCTAACAATGGCTAACATATTCAAGCTGCCATAATTACAAGACACCATGGCAACCTTGAAAATGTAATGGTTGTTTGTCTTGCATCATATGTCTAGAAATAAATGTTATGCTTGGCACAAATAGAGCCCTGTTAATAGAGATGTTCGAAGCGCACAAAATTCCGCCAATGTTGGGTCTAAGGAGGCTTTAATGTACTTTGTATAGCCATAATATATGGTTACACTGGGCTTATGATGTAACAAGATAGGCTTTTGAGTTCCTCAGCCAAACATATAGAGTCGAGTACAAGTTTTTGAGTGCGAGCTGACAAGTATGGATTGCCGAATACGGATCATCAAGTGAATGCTCCCCTTTTACCTGACAAGTTCTAAGAGATTGTTTGATGATCTGGCATGGAGCCGTTTTGTGATGTCAGATCAATTCAACAAGAGAAGATCCAGCTCTCTTCATGGTCGATTTAGCCTAGAGGCAAACTATCATTAGAGCCCAAAAGACTGATAAGGATATGACCCGATGAGTTCATAGAGAATAGAAAGTGATGTAGCACCGTCAGAAGATAATATGCTAGGATAATATTAATTATATGTCTGTATTAGAAGAAAAAGAAAAGGAACATAGATCTCTAGAATTCTATATTTAATATCATTAGTGCATTTTTAAGAGGTGATATTCCCATACATAAGGGGAAAGCTTTATGCAAGAGAAGGAGGAGCACTTTGAATCCCAAAATGATGTAACCCAATTTCCCCTAATAAAAGACAACAATCCCCTCTCCATAGCATGTTCTTTCCTCTTCCCCAAGTTCCTCTCTTGAGGTGTGAATCCGCAGACATATCAGCCTTCAACACTCCCGGCTTTACCTTGGCATTTCAAAAAGGTTATTTTTGTGATTGAGACTCATGACCTATAGATCACTAGGAAGACAACAACCAAATCCTGCCCTAAGCCCACACTCTAATAGACCTCAGTTGCAGAACTGAATTTAAGCCTCTCAAGCATGAACTTAAATCCTAGACTCTTCAGAAAGAGTACATTAATTTCTGCAAAAATTCTCAACTCTAAAAAATATTTGAATCTTAGTACTAAATTTGAATTTTTTGCATTTTCAGAGTCAACAAAGTGAAGTTCCCAACTTTGAATCAAGCACTCACTCGTTCTACTGAAAAATATTCAAGTAAAAACTACTGAATAACACGAATCACAATATAATATACTGTTGTGCACATAAATAATGAAACCATTTTGCATGTTGAAAATGCCAAACAACAAAAATAATAAAAAAAATACCTCCATAGTAAACCGCAGCCTGTCCGCTGCTATAATGTGTTATTGCGCCAAACAGATTCGTATTGTACGCCAATGCTAGTGCCGCCAACACGCCAGGCACGCCCGCCGCAACATGCATAGCGAGAAATGCGGAGTAAAGAGCTCCAACATGCCCGGTTTGACTCGCAAAAAGATAATGGATGAGGAAATACGATCCTTGAAGAACGCCAAAGGCTACCGGCCAGCTCAATGAAAAACACTGCAGAGACTTCGCCACACAGCTCGACATCCACGACACAATACCAAGGTTCGTAAGTTGGCCTGCCATGCCAACTAATACTGCAAACCAAGCCAATGTATCCCATGCAGAATGCTCAGTTAAGCAATCATCCCAATCTAAGACGCCCACCAAAAGCAAGATTGATAATCCCAGCATGGCAGCAACTACGCTCGCCACACCAAGAGCCTCTCTGTTCACAAAGAATGAAAACGTAAGCATTTAAATTTCCAAAAAAAAAAAAAAAACTAACAGCTTATCATACAAAATAATTGCTGATGGTGAAATATGCAAAATTAACACAAAGTGAATAAAGCTAAAAGTATCTATTATAATAAATTAGAAAGTTCCCTCTCATTCCCCTGACTCCATTGCCATGCAGCTTCTGAAGGTAAGGTCTCAACATGACGTGTCATAACGGCAATAGATAAATGCGATTATGTAGAAAAACAGTTGTATGATAAAAAGAAGGCAGATTTACATACATACCACTCAATTCCTATGTATTTACATATGTCACACCCAAGCTTCAATTTCACTTATAAAAGTTTAGATGGTGGTACTGTTTATGTGATAAGAAATGTTTGGGTGGTATAAATACAAATTGTACATTTAGCTGTTAGATATGTAAATAGATAGTATTTGGCATCCAAGTGTGTAAATACCCCAAAGAAGAAAATTCAAATTTAAGAAACATAATGAATTATAATGGCAAAATATCGGCAACGATTCACTCACCCAAAAACCCACAACGAAACAGCAAGAAGCATCGTTGCAACCATAGCCCATTCATTTCTTGTGACAGGTCCCATCTGTTCGAGCTTTTTAGCAGCCAAAGCAGGTGCATCGGGCGTGTCCTTAGTTTCTGGAGGATACATCTTATAAAGAAGATATGGAGTTGCGAGAAGGCATACGATAGCAGGCAAACTTGCAGCTTTAAACCAAGTTACCCATGGATTTACAATCCCAACCCCAACTTCTTCAGCTAACTTGAGGCACAATAGGTTTTGAGCAGCAGCAGTTAGAAAAAGAGCACTGGAGTTCCCTGCTGACTATATACACCAAGATGAACATCTAAAGGATGAGAAAGTTACAAATCTGAATGTGACAAAAGTAACAAAATACGCTTCATGTCAAAAAAAGAAAAAAAAGGAATTAAATAATTGAACATTTATTTTGGTTCAAATGTTACAAAAGACATTAACAGAAATCAAAGGATGTAAACAGAGTCAATTTACTAAGGTGATGTTAAGCCTAGGTCCTTGCTATCATATCTATATTCTAATACATGCCAAGTTTTCTCTCCTTTAGATCTTTTTTTTATTTTTTTGTCAAAAAATAAAAAAGTTACAAATTTCTTATTTTAAGCTGACTGTTTCAAATACCGTTTTGCATTGTTAGCATGCATTTTACATACAAATAGATAACAATTACAATGGCTTTAGAAATTTATACTCAAATCACAACTCGCCTTATCACAGAAAATCTTTGCATTCTTGTAAATTATTGCACAGTATTTTACATAAAACTTTGCACAACTTCATTAAGTTATGAAATTTGTAAAAAATCACAATATATGAACAGTGCTTATTTTCAAGGGGAGAACCTCTATAAAAGCCTTTTTTTAAGTATTGTAATAAAGCTTCTTGGCACCAAACCACTTTACTCAAAGATAAAAGCTGTGCTGGTCTATCTAACATAAGCACCCGCAATACAATATAAGAAATGAAAGCCAAATGTAGGATCCTTAATAGAATAACTTGCTATCTCATTAGTGTGAAGCCTTTATCCATCTTTTCAGGATCATTTAGCCAAGAATCATTCTTTTAAAAAAAACAAAAAAAGAGTTGAAACTAAATGGTTTTAAAATGAGGAGTTTGCTGTCCTATAAAAATGGAGATGGTTCCCACATTTACCATTGTATGGATTCTTGATTTAATGGAAACTTTCTTCAGAAAACTAGGAGGCTTAACTATTCCAACTTTTTTATTCTACTAAAGATGCTTGCCCAAATTCTTAAGAAAACGCAAATGAGATCAAATTGATGTACTTCCTCATGTGGTTGTTGAAATTAACTCATCATGTTCTAATAGAATAATGATTCTGCCATTATTTAATGAGAGTGAATATTCTATGGCATAAAGAGGATATTTTTTACTCATTTCAAAACTAAGAAGCCTATATTCGGTGATCTCACCGAGCTTCACTGGTCTACATTTCAATCTTTTAAAGGCCAATCGATTAAAAACTCATTTTACTGATTGAATGAACTGCCTTGAGATGTTGAAAATTCTGATAATTTGAAAGCTATAGGTTTGGCGGTTTACACTCTTTATAAGTTTTGTGCCAATGAGAATCATAAACATTTATTTTTTGGGTGCATTTTTTAAGGAAGATTCACATGCATACCACTCAATTCTTATGTATTTACATATCTAGCATTTAAACTTCAACTTTTACATATATGTCACCTGATGTGTTTCACTCGTTAAAAGTTAAAATAGTAGTAAATTTGTTGTAATATGATAGATATGGGTGGTATAATGTAAAAAATGAAAATCTAGCTGTCAGATATGTACACACATAAAATTGGGTGGTATGTATGTCAATGATTCTTGGCTCTTTCTCTCAATGTTTTTTTCTACTTAATTGTGGGTTCTGTCAAGGTTTATCTTTTTACTTTGTTTGTGAAAATTGAATGTTATTCTAAAATTTTTGTTCTAACAAAACAAATCCAAAAAATTAAAAAAAAAAAAAATTAAAAAAAATCTGTTTTGGATTATCTTCAAAAAAGAAGAAAACAAGGAAATGCCACAGAGAAATCCGAACCTGGAATTGAGACATGACCAGATACGATCCCAATTTCTTGGACGACTTCTCCCCAGGTCTGCTCCCCGACGACAAAGATAGAGAATTGATAATCGGCAAGAACACCCCGCCAGCCCTTGCCGTAGTACTCGGCATTGCAGGTGAAATCAGCGCCTCACTGACTGTAAGCCCATAGGAAAGCCCTAGCGTGCTTTTCCCCAGCCACTTCACAAAATAAGTAGCAATCCGATCCCCCAATCCCGTCTTCACAAAACCCCGAGCAAAAAAGAAGGAAATCACAATCAGCCATATCACCTCGTTCGTGAATGCAGAGAAAGCCGCAGAGAAGCTGAGCGTCTTAGTGATGACGGAAACGGTGAGGCAGATGAATGCCCACGCGCCGACGGGGAGAGGACTGAGAACAAGCCCCGCAATGGTGGAGGAGAAAATCGCGAGGAGCTGCCACGCCTGGGGGGTGACCTCGACGGGCTTGGGGACGATAAAGCGCAGAAGGAGTCCGATCGCGACGGAGATTGCTAGCGGCAATGGCTTCACCCCTGCAGTAGGTGGCGAAGAAGGAGGTGGTGGGGGAGGGGACGAAGAGGAGGATGCACGGATTAGGGAAAGGAGGGATTTTTGGCGAGGGTGAGGGTTAGGGTTAGGGTTAGGGAGAGGGCGGGGAGAAAGGGAAGGGGAGCGACGGCGGAGTAAAGAAGTGGTCGGGCGGCGGATAGGGAAGATGGCGCAGGAAGGTGGGCGGACGGAGAGGGGACGGTTGACGAAGAAAGAGGAAGGGGAGGGGAGGGGGCGGAGGAGGGCGGTGGATTCCATTGGAAGGAGAGCGTCAGAGGAGTGGGAGAAAGAAAATGTAGAGGAGGAGCGAGGGAAAGCGAAGAACAAACAAGTGATTCGTGGTATGCGATCAAGACAAGGAATGGATTTCGCTACAACCGAGAGGATATGAAACTGCACAGATAACTTTGTATACTCCTCCGTATAATTTCTTAAAGTGATGGACGCATGAATTTTAATTTTATTAATCATTAATTTTAATGCATTTGAATTAGCATTAATTATAAAAGATAAAAACCTAAAATACTTATCTATTATTTTATATATCAATATAATATTTCTTTATTTACGTTATCATGTTTGTCATTTTCACTAATGAAAATCCTTAATTACTTTTTCTTCAAAATTAATGTATTTATGTCTTGCCTATGGTGTCCCCAAAATGTTTAGGTGCATTTAGATGCATGCCATACAATTCTTATGTATTTGCATATGTAACATTTGAAGTTTCATATTTGCATACTTAACATATATGAAAAATATCACTATTACTTGCTTTTAGATAATAAATATGTATTTTCATGCATAAATTTATGTTATAAAAATAATAATGAATGTTTAGGCGTTAAAAATGTAAATACATACGACTTATGTGGTATGCATGTAAATTTCCAAAGGTTTAGTCCACTTGATATTATTAATAGCCCTTCCATGCCCTTTTTCTTTATACGTTCATTTATATATTAAAATTATATTATGTTTGTATGCTATAAGAGGATGATGAAGCCGATCGAAGTGGACTAATCTAATAAGTCGTGCTCATGAATTGATCTATTTATTTTAACATCACACAAAGCATTCGATCCTTCATAAATAAATATTAACATGTCACAAACTTCTAATTTGCATGGTCTGATATAATTGCTCCATTTTAATGGATAATAGAGTGCCCATTAAATTTTAGGTAGGTTAGTGTAGCTATGATTCAAATGAATTCCATTTCTCAATGAAATTTAAGTTGAAATTCATCTAATAGATTAATTTGTATATTGTAGTCTTTAGCTAGAACATGCTACATATGTGGATTTTGACTTTTATGCATTCTATTATTTATGTTCTTTGAATAATAATAATAAACAAATATTTAAAATTAACAATTTATGTACATGCCAAAATGTCGATATAATGTTGATGAGAAAATGATTCTAGTTAGATCTAATTGAGAAAAAAAAGTTAGTAGAAAGTACTCGCAGTCGATCGACCACACTAATTCACCGTCAGATTTAAAAGCTAAAGCAACTCGCTCGCGTGGGCATTTATATATTCATGTACCGTTATGTACTTTTCTTTAATAATTTTAGTTAAACGTTGTACTGCTCATTAGGATTTCAAGTTGCTATAAATACATTGGGAGATCATAGAGTAGCTGGCAGGGGGAGACCAGACTATTAGTAGGGTCGGTCGGCCTTTTTGAGGGACTTGCTTGGGGTTCGGCTGCGGATCATGTGCTAGAGGTGTCCGCTCGCCTGGATGCTGAAGTAGCGGTTCTGCAGACGGAGCTAGTCGCCCTCAGAGACGTGCTAAACGAGGTGTCGCACAAGCTGGAAGTACTCTTTGAGATGTCTGTTTTGCTGATAGAGTGATTCAACAAATTGTAAGTGCATGTTCAGTTTCTTATTTTCTTTTATAAATTTAAATCTCAGTCGAAAGCTGAAATTTGAAAAAATATATTAATTTCTTACTTCACAAACAACAAAAAGATGAGGATCGAGATTGTCTCATGGACGTGGATTTCTTCTGAAGTTGAATCAAGTAATTAAATTGCTTGTTTTTGTAATTAATTATTTTTGTAGATTACATTACAGTTTTTCAACTCCTGAACCATATTACCTGCCACAGCACTTCAAATAAAAAAGGTTAATAGAATATTAATTTCTCTGTTTTAATACTAATTAATTGCCAATAAGAATTATGTCAGATTGTGTTGCCGTGAAGACTGAAGTGTATGTGCTGAAATTAGTCTCAGATCTTTAAATCTTGATGAGGTTGGATCATATTTACTGTTCTTGCCATTAAGAATTATATCAAATCGATATTCATTTACTATTTTGTGGCAATTATATTAACATGTAGTATATAATCTGTCTCTCCTCAAAAGTTATCATTTTATGAGGCTTAATTTATAAATGAGCGGAACATAAATAATTTTTTTTTTGTTAGAAAATGTTTGGCTTGTGTTTGACAGAGATTAAATAAATAAATAATGATTTTTACAGTATTTTCATATTTATTTTTTATGCTGTATTAAAAGTATTAATTTTTATATTTTTTAATCGTTCGAATTAGTGCTATTTATGAATCATTTCGAACATAAATATATTTTAAAAAAAGAAAAATAAAAATTTCAAGCACGCTTAGCACGGATGAGCCCCGGGCTCGCTCAAACCCGACTTACGATGTTAAGAAGCTGAGTTAGATCACTTTTTTAAGGTAAGAAGTGAAAAACAAAATTGTGATTCGAGCTGGCTGAGAAGTTAACGATGGAGTTGCCACGTAACAAGGCCACCTAATCTCCTACCTTTCTCCTCATTCTCTGAAGCCTTGCGATAAGTCGCAATCGGAGTTAAAGGTGAGGACAGGATCGTAGCGTGCAGAGGTGACCTAATTCCTACTCCTTCCATCCGTTCCTACACAAAACCATCAAGGAAGGTAACCCTTGCCTCTCATTGTCATGCACTTTTGGCTCCTCTGAATCCCGTAACCCATCTTCCAACAGGGATTCAAGGAAAGAGAGCCAAAACGAGATTTAATGGTTAAAAATGTTTTTTTTATGGCTAATGCATGCTCGAAAATTTGTTCGGTAGAGAAATGGATTATTGTCATAGTGTAGCATGATAATTTAACACACATTCGCACGAAAAAAATAATTAGTAGAGATACCCAAAATTTTTACTTGAAAAATCTCATAAAGAAAAAAACCACGAGGTTTTGGCCTAATTGAAGAGTTCAACTGTAAAATTATGATTGCAATTACAACCACTTCTCCCATAGGCCAGAAAGGGTTAAAAAATATCCCAAGTTACTACATCGGCATATGTCTAAATTTGCTGTAAGTAATGAGCGGCGACTGATAGCAATCAGCATCGGTCGGAAAGTGGTGGTCGACGTCGGTTGGTGGCGCTGAACTCCAGCTCTTTCTCAAAGCTTCAAAATTTTTTTTAGGCCTCAAGCTCTCCCTCTTTCATGAGAGGCGTGAGACTCTATTTATAAAGTTCCAGTGCAATTGATACATGAATATGAATCATTTTGATCAGACATGCCCCGAGTGTTTTTCTTTGATCAGACGACATATGATGGACATTTGAGTGTCTTGATGATGTCAGAATTGAACGATCTTGAGCTCCTTAGATTCATCTTATCGAGACGCTCTATTCGACTGTACCCAATTCGACATTCATTTAACCTCCTAAAGATGCTTCGAGAGCTTCTAAAAGTGGTTTAATGGCTTGATTTGAGCTTCGTTTGACTAGATTAGATCAATATTGGTATCATTGGGTCTATTTCATCAAACCTGTCAGTTTGACTATAAGTTTGTTGAAATTGGAACTTTGGTTATCTCTTAATCGAAGTTTGAACATTTCTTGTTCAAAAGATTGCCTTAGAGATCATTGTGATGTCTTGAGATTCGTGACTGATGTTGGAATTTTATTGATGGTGTATCATTTTTTCCCTTTTATTGGGTGGGACCAACATCCTTATTCGAAGATATACAAATCCTACGAACTATATTTTTTATGTGTGTGTATATACATATATATATATAAAAGTGCCGCTAGTCGTGACCTGTTGGTAAAGCAGCCTCTTTGAAGGTTGTAAGTCCCTCAGGTCACGAGTATGAACCTCCCTTTGACTAGTTCACCGGTAGTGAGAACAGTCCTCGAATAATTAGATACTTGAGAGTGATTGGGCTCATATAATAGCCTCGGACTATTATTTGCATATATATAGTTATAATGCGTAAGAATTAATGTGGTGTTGTACGCACGGGCATTGGATTTGGACACCTATAGGAAGTAACTGGTGGCCAATTGGCAATTGAGTAAGTTAGAAGGGACATTACGCGGATTGCATGCATATCTATCTCTCTATTAATAATAATACAATAAAAATAAAAAGTAATCCGGATATTGGTTTTGTAGGACAACAAAATTTATCTTTTTTGAAAATAGGAGGACAACTAAAATGTCATAAATAAATATGACATGAATTTTAAGGCATAATACGGATCTCGAGACAAACTTTTGAGCAAGAAACATTCAAATTTTGATTGAGAATGGTCCAGAGCTCTGATTTCAGCAAACATACAATCAACTGACCGCTCAACAAGATAGATCCAATGGTATAGATATTGATCCAATTTGAACCAAATTGAGTCTCGATCAAACCATTACACCAATTGTGGAAGCTTTCTACACACATATGGAAGGTCAAACAGATGTCTAATCCATCGAGTTCATGGTCAAATTGACTGTCTCGATAAGATGATTCCAACGAGCCCAAGATCACTCAATTTTGACATCATTAAGACACTCAAATGTCTATCAGACACATTAGCTTGAATGAAACCCTTTGAGCCACCCGATCAATGTGGTTAATATTTCTGCATTAATTGCACTCAGAACTCTATAAATAGAGTCTCATCCCTCTCATGAGAGGGGAGGGAACTTGAGGCTCGAGAAAGAACTTGAAACTTTGAGAATGAACTGAAGTGCAACATCATTCCTTCCGTCGTTAGCTCCCGCCGACTGTCTCGTACCCTCGGTTTAATATGTCATTGTCTTTCTTCAGCATCCTGAGAGAATAGAGATCAGAATGACCTCAGACTTAATTTGTGAAGTACTCAAAACACTGATAATATTCAGAATTGGTCCATCTTACCAAATAACTTCTACGTTAACTAAAACCCAACAATGAAATTAGAATAGAGATTCTGTTAGAGGACTGCATAACTAATAGAAGAGATGGATAATTTTGAATTTGGTTTACCTAAAACCTCTCCTCTCTTGAATGAAAGTAGGTTTCAGTCGCTCTT